CTACAAATGGCGAGAATAAAAGACGCAATAAAACAGGAGTTGATCCAAATACAGGCATAAAGTATTATGTTAATTGTGATTAATTTTTGTGAAATGAAAAATCGCATCAGAACAGCACACTGAGCAACTTAATTGTTTGATGGAAACAATTTCATTCGACCTTTGTTCACCGGTTGAAGACAAGCATACGGTCTCCGTTACACTGTCAGTCCATCTTTAAACAAATCTGCCCTCAAATCCTTAACTAATTTTTTTTTCTTGTAGTTCTGATGAAAGAACAAACCGGTGAAGCAGTTAAAATAAGTATAAATCCCTGGCGTATCAGGCCACGATTCTCATTGGTGAGGAAAGCACCATCGTTTTCGCGGTCTTCAAACTTCAACGCATAGACATTCTTCTCAGACTGCGGTAATTTGAGTTCGACACTCAACCGAGTTATCAAATCCGTCAATACTTCATTCTAAAACTGGACAGATCGATGTATTCTCGGAACTAAAAGTCTAATGATTGGTCAACATGAACTGCTTTAGAAAATTAATGTTTGGAGGAAAAAATTAAAAACTCACCTTACAAGCAAACAAGAACTTGCCTCCTTATCAAAAGTAACATAGGTCCAAGTGATTTCTGATCCAGTCTCTGGTGGTAATTCATCGCCAATATATTTCCTAACGCATGGATCCAACTTTACTGCTCCCTAAAATACGACAAAAAATTTAGCCACAAATACAAAATGCCAAAAAAGTATATGAACTAAAGTTATACAGAGCTGCACTTGCTAATATGAATTTTTTAAAAAAAAAAAAACCAAATTCTACCTAGCAAAAATGCAGGGGAATCTTTTTTTTTTTGTTAAACTGCTCAGTTTATAGTTCAGTTTCTAATAAATCGTGGTTCTAAAGTGACGAGATTTCAATGATGGGGCAAAGTATCCTCAAACATTCAGAACATGTCACTGCTAAATATCGGTTTCTTCATACGTCTGATTTATTTTTTCTACAGCCTTAACATACTCATGTTGATGAACATATACAATTAGAATAGCGCTGACGATCTCACTAGCTTTTATTATTTCGACAATCTTCAATTCCAGAAATTTGAAAAAAGTGAAAGAATGTGAATAAACTCATTTTGAAAGAATAAACTCATTATGCGTTTTGTGCTGTGTAACAGCAGTACAAAACGCATATTGTTACGGGGTTGTCTGT